AAAAAAAAAAAAAAAAGGAAAAGAAAAGGAAAAAAAAAGAAGAAAAGAAAAGGAGAGTCAGCCTGCACACTCTCGAAAATTGAGAGTCCGCTGTTTGTTTGGAAAAAAAAAGCAGAGTCCAGTTGATGTGGCGCAGTGGTTAGAGCACCGGTTGGAAATGCGCATTGTGGTATAAGGTTGCGGGTTCAAATCCGCAGCCTTGCGCATGGACACCAACAGGGCGTTAGAATGACGTACGGTTGGACACACAGCCCCTTGGGATGACGCAGGTTAGCTATTACAGACACTGCCGGCGCACCACCCAAGGGTTGTTCATGGTGTTGTATGTTGGTTCTGGGTTTCACATGGGTTGCTCGGGGGTGTTGGTCCTGGGTGTTCTGTTGATCTCCCCAGTCTGGCAAATCACACGTTTGGGCCATTTCCACTGGTCGTTCACATGGTACAGTCATTCGATTATATGTTACAAGGTCACGGGTTCGAGCTTGGTTCGGACCTTGGGGGGGTCCCTGTCCAGCTTACCCCGTTCTCTCTCTTCGATATACAGAGTATACATAGCCTTCGGACATACACATAGCCTTAGCCTTTGGACATAACATAGAACTATATCTCGCCTGCCGGCTGCATACACGCCTTCTGACATAACATTGAACTACACACCGCCTACGGGCTACATACACAAAGTTTCCACACATGATCCACACATAGCCTTCGGACATAACATAGAACTATATATCGCCTACGGGCTACATACACATATATATAGCCTTTGGACATAACATAGAACTACACATCGTCTATGGGCTACATACACAAGGCTGGGGGGGTCTAGTCACTGGATAAGGGTCTAGTATTTGCAGTAGGTTCAGGTTGGTTGGATAGGGTGATGTGACGAACCACTTCCCGACCCCGTGCCATCTTTCGTACCCTTTCTTTTGCTTGTATCATACCAACCCCAGGAAAACCCCGTTTTGAGTTCTTGCTTTCGGGTGCCGCATTTTTCTTTTTGAGAGCTTTTTCGACTGCTGAGTTCTGTTTTTCTTCTTGCAAAGTCGGGAAATACATGGGAATTTACGTGCGCCTTAGCGAGCGCACTAGGAATTGGGCTCGGTAGTTGGGAATTCCGGGATAAGCGGAACTTCGGCGTGTCCTTTTTGGGTGTGTGAATGTTCCTGGGCGCGTCAGGGAAAACTTTCGGAATTTTGCGTGAATACGAATAGGCGTAGGATTTTCTTTTCCCACGTCGTTTTTTCACGCGCGGATATGGTGATTTCAATTTTCAATTAGGATAGAAGCAAGCTGTAACTGTTTCGGTGCCTTTTTCTTTTTTTTTTGTTGACGGCGCCGTGCATGCAAAAGCTTCCTCCTCTCTGTCCCCCGCATCGCTCCCTCCCGCGCCTCCCTTCCCTTCTCCCTCCTTTTTCTCTCTTCCCGTAACTGTTTTTCCTTCTCCCTCTCTCTCTCTCCCGCCTTGCTTTCGCACGCCCATTTCCCTTTCTTGATCATCTGAATCTTGGACCCGTCTTGCGCCACCTCTCGCGCCTTTTCTCTTCCCACCCTCTACGTCTGGCATACGAC